ATTTAGTGTTGGAAGTATATATTGAGTAGCCATTAGGCAGTAAACACACGTCACTCGCTACAGATGCCTCTGGCTAAGCATCCATTAATCTAACTAGTAAATTAGTACATTTACAATACCAATCACAAACAACAAATGCACATAGCTAGGAACAAAACAAAGTTTACTATGAAACTAGAATTGCATTTAAGATAGTATAGGGACAACCTACATAGATAGAATGCCAACCTGGACAAAGAGTTAGCCATCCCCAAAAGTGTTGGAACAGTCCTTGGATCAGAGTCATTTATCTTTACATCTTCCTTCAAAGCAATGTCTCGCAACCTCTGTTCCAAACACAAGCTAGCTAAGCCAATATAGTAAGCACCAAACAAGAACTCTATACTATTTACATCTTACTAAGTTAATATTAAATATATTGGTTTGTCCCAAAAAAAATTGTTTATACATAGATAGTATAATGCATTTCCCTATATGAACATTAATTTGTACAATTACAGCTAGCAATTTGTGTTGTACAATTCAAAACAAGGGTAAATCCGTAAATGGGAATCCAATATTACTATTTATTCATATAAGTTAACAATGTGACAATTTAGTTTACAAAAATCAAAGCATTTTAAACTTTAACATAAACAATGCAACAGAGAAAATATAATGCAGCTAAACAAAACAACTAATCAACCTTGAGCCAAGATGAAACTGAGCTCCCAAATGCCCTCAATGTAGGAAAGTATTTCCCCTCTTTCTCAATTCGTTCTACAACAAGCTCTACAAGCCTCAAACAAGTGGCAGCATACAAAAACTGATGGAGAACATCATGTAAACTTGTTTGAGAGAGGTGAGTAACATACATCCCAGTTTTGACATAAAATCGACATTGATTATCGTCCCAAGCAAACAAGGGGCTAGAATTACCCTGCAATATATGCAATACACCTTGAACCTACAAAATGAAAATCAACATATATCAACGAGCTTTCAAATGTGCAATTCATAAAGAGAAAATTAATAAACCTCGAACGAAGTCTTATCATTTTTAAGGATGCTGATAAAAAATGAAACCAAGAGTACTAATTCAAATTCACTGGTCTTATGGGAAGTAATTGATGCTGCAAAGTATACGCAGGCCCGTCCCTGAGCCGGGGCAGCTGCCCTGGCCCCAGATAGAAAAGGTTCGTGTTCATAGTTCCATCCTAACATTGAAGGATTATTAACCAAATCCTGCAACACAATAGCAACCAAATTCGACTTAATCATCAAATTATGATCGAAAGAACACGTAAAATTCTTCTCTTTCAACAACATCAACTTACATTGCACACAGGCCCGTCCCTGAGGCAGGGCAGGAGGGGCAGCCGCCCTAGGCCCAGGGTAAAGAGATTTAATTTCATATTGAATTATCTCGAAAAATACATAATTTTAGGGATATTTGATTCAATAATCAAAGAACGCTCATAAATTTCTTATCTTTTGGATATGATGTTTCATAATCTAAGAATTTACGAACCCTAAACTTAAAGCACTGATAATTAAATTAAAATATAAACCCTAGATTGTGAAATTGATATGATGATGACAACAACAAACAACTTACCTTTGAAGCTGCTTCAACTGGGGATACAAGGATAAAATTCAACGGAGAACGCTTCAATAGAGAACGTTGAGTGCGCTTCAAAGAATAACTGGGAGTCTGAGAGGGGTAGGAAATAGGAACGAGGCCTTTAAAAGCCATGACCCGTCATAGTTATAATATGGGTTAGATCCGGCTTATAAATAAATGGGCGGGTCTTTATATCATCAATAATCAATCAATTAATCTAATCATCAATCAATCAATAACTTAATACTTAAACAGACACCGGGGGTGCCACGTGTCACACCCTAGTGCTGTTTTTTCCCTCTAAAGTTTTCCTTTTTTTTTAGCTGAAATCTTTTTTTTAGAATATTTTTATTATACAACTATAATAATATTATTTCAAAGCTTTTATATTATTTTTGTAATATATATTTTCCTTTTTATTTGGTGTTCTTAGTTATTCCATAAATATTTACCTAAAATATTAGTCCAACTTTTTTTTTCTTATTCATATAATATATATTAATGAGATTACTTTAAGCTGATTGTTATTTGATTTACCAAAAATAATAATAAAATTAAATTGTTTCATATAATTAATATTAACGAAATCACTTAAATCTTTCAGCATGTTTTGTGTGCAGCTGGCCTCACCATATGACGTCGAGTGTAAAAAAATAAAGTAACCTTTATAATGTTAACCGGGCAACCCCTGTATAATATATATATATATATATATACATACATACATACATATACATACATACATACATACATATATATATATAAGGGGAGTTTTTCCCAAGTTTTTAGAGAGCCACATAGGATTAATTTTTTCAGCGCGCCATGTAGGATAATACATTTTAGTGGTACTAATTAAATACGAGATTATTAATTTATTTTATGATTAAATAATTTAAATGACACGCAAACAAAATTGGCAAATGAGATTTTCCAGTTTAAATCAATTAAATATAAAATATTGTCTTTTGATAACATGAATTTTATCTAAATATATCACAAATTTTAGCATATATATAATTATATAAAAACTAACTTGATCCTATTTTTACTCCTAGCTCGTCAAATAATGAAATATGGTATAATAGTCATTAAGTGAAATATAGTATAACCGCATAATAGTCATTGTTATTGTTATTGTTATTGTTATTGTTATTGTTATTGTTCTTGTTCTTGTTCTTCTTGTTCTTGTTGTTATTGTTCTTGTTATTATTATTATTATTATTATTATTATTATTATTATTATTATTATTATTATTATTGTTGTTGTTGTTATTATTATTATTATTATTATTATTGTCGTTGTTGTATATAAGCTTAAAAGTATGAAATTTGGCTTTATATCATTAGCAATATCATTAAACATAAACTGAACTGAAATGAACTGAACTGAAATGAACTTATTAGAGCTGAAATAAACTGAACTGAAATTAATTTGATGAAAACTGGCCCTTAAATTATTTTAACCATGGTGCGTCCTTGATGAGTGGTGCCACTCTTTTATCCTTTTTCTCTAAGGATTTTTCCCACATTTGGCGCTTGTTTGAGCCTTTTCCAAGCATTTTGTCCTAGTTTTTGCTACGTTGGTTCCTTCTTGTGTTTCCCTCTCTTTTCTTTTCTTTAATTACGCCTTTCTTTATCGCTTTCCTTCTCTATTTCGCTTATGTTTGTGTATGAGTTCTTTGTTTAGGTTGAATGGAGATGCTTGCGTGATCTCGCTCCAGGCTTAGTTCGCCCTTTGGAGCGCATTGGAATAGGTGAAGAGAGGAGCATTGGACTTTGAAGAAATCTGAAGCACACAAGAGGAGCGGTCGCTCACCCCCTAGGAGCGGCCACACCATTTTACTTCTTGCAACCCTGTTTCACAGGTTAAAGAAGCAGTCGCTCACCCAGAGAGGAGCGCCCGCTCCGCACCCTGGAGCGCCCGCTCCCCTTAGGTCGGTGTCTTTTGTTAATACCCTCTCGAGCGCCCGCTTCCCCCCGATGGAGCGCCCGCTTTCGTGGGTATTTCCGTGCACTCTTAAGCCTTCATTTAGGGTAATGTGAGGGGCATATAAATACCCCTAGGATTGTAATGAGATGATTATGTACATTTTAACCCTAATCTTAGAGAGAGAAAGTGTAGTCTTATATTGCTCAAGTTATCTCCATTGTATGCAACTTTGTTCAAGTTTCTCTTCAATCAATCAAGCAACCTTCCAAGTTTTCATCTTTCATTTATTTCCTTTTTAGTAATCTCTTATCCTTTCTCTTAGTTTTATTTATTTGCCTTTTAGTTGTGTTTTCTCATTTATCTTGCTAGTTAATCTATCTTTGTTATTTTCATTGTTTTTTATCCTGTTTGATTTTGTGTTTCTTGAGTTTACTCTTAGTTTTGCTATCATGTTTATTCCCCCTTTTCTAGGCTAATCTCTTAGCTAGGGGAAGGGGGTGGAAAATATGTGTTGAATGTTGGAAGAATGATGATGGTTGGATTGATACATGCCTTAAATTGATGAAAGACATGATTTTTGATGGCTTGAGATTATTGTTGCACTTTATTTGATTGCCCTCTAGTTTAAATGCATGAAAATGATTTGAACTAGATTAAGATCACCTCTATTTTAATGATTGCATGAGAATGAGTTGTTAAAATGGAGTTTTATGAATTGTGCCTCTTTATTTCTCTTGATTTGCTTGTGTCTAATAGGATGCATGAGAATGATCCTAATTAGCATAGACCTCTTTCATTGATTTGCCTAGACTTTTGCATGAGAATGGATTGTTTAGGTATGATCTTGTGTTCATTGGCATGTTCTTCATGATAACTATCATTATTCCCCTCTTTCTAATCATGTTTGACACCCCCGTATCCCTAGCGTTGTTTTCTCTTGAGTTTATTCATCTTTTTCTTTGCTTATTTGTAGTCTTAGTGCTTAATCAAAGAAAACCAACAAAAACATTTCCCACTTTACTCTTGCATTAGTGACATTGATGTTGAATGAGTGTGCTTCCTTAGTGGTTCGATACGTGCCCCTATACTTGTATTAGGGTAGTCTAGGATTATAAATGATTAATTTGATTAGGGTAGTAGCTTAACGACCTATCTCAATCCCTATCAAATTTTGGCGCCGTTGTCGGGGAAGCGGCTTGTTTAGTGTCTATTTTTGCTTTTTTTAGAGTAATTTAAATTGCTTTTCTTTTTGTTTTGTTTATTCTATCATACCTGCATTTCTAATTGTTTGCTTAGCTTTGGTGAATGCTTAGAAGATCTCAAGGACCACCCACACATCAAATTGACCAAGAGATCAACCGAACTCTAAGGCAAGTCCATAAACTTTTTCAAGAAGAAGGAAGAGGTCTTGGTGCTATAGTTGATAGTGGGAGTGATTCTTACTCTTCTAGTTCGCAAAGTGAGGCAATGGCGGGACAAGAGGATGATGTTTTGTTTCGTGAGTTCGGAAATCCGGAGGATTATAAGCTCACGGGAGGGATTTTGCTACCCGTCACAGAAACCAACTTCACAATTCATCCCCAATATATAAGAATGGTTCAATCGGAGCAATTTTCGGGTTTTCCAAGTGAAGACCCCATAGAGCACCTTGATAGATTCCTTGAGCTATGTGCCATGATTCAATCTAATCAAGTTTCTCAAGAGTACATCTGAATGCATTAATTTCGACAATCTCTTTCGGGTAGAGCAAAGAAGTGGTTGAAGCAAGTGAAGCCTAACTCTCTCACGACATGGAGGAAGGTAGTCAAGGCATTCTTGAAGAGGTTCATTTCCGAGGAAAAGACCGCCGAAATGAGAAGGAAGATCGCATCATTTGAAAAAGAAACGAATGAGAGTATTAGTGAAGCTTGGGAGAGGTTCAAGGAGTTGGTACAAGTGTGTCCTCAACATGAATACAATCAAAGTTTGCTCATGAGGTTTTTCTACGATGGATTGGAATCTATGTCTAGAGCTAACTTGGATGCGGGGGCGGGTGGACAATAGATCAAGATCCCCCAAAATCAAGTGGAAGCAATAATCGAGGAGGTAGAAAAGAACTACTCTTGGGGTGGTAGAAGAAGGAATGCACCAAATTAAAGAAAGGTGGAATATATGAGTTGGAGAAGGTTGACCAACTACAACATCAAATTGATCAACTCACAAAAGGGCTCTCAAAGTTGAACCCGAGTGTAAATGCAAGTTCAAGTGGTGGAGCAAGCTCTTCTCAAGTTAACTCTTTCTCCTGTCAAAATTGTGGAGGAACGAACCATGATACATCCTATCGTGGAGGTTTGATCCCCGAGCATGTAGCGGCATACAACACAAGGCAAGATGGTTTTAGTGGAGGCGGCGGTGGAGTAGCTTGGAGACAACCACCACCCGGGTTTACATCTTAACCTCAACAATGGAGCCAACAAGCTCAACCCTCTTACAATTCCAACCCCCAATACCAAAATCCACCTCCATCTCAAAACCAAAACCCAAGAGGGAGCTACCCAAGGAACAACCAATACAACAACCAACACCAATACAACAATCAAGCCCAAGTGCCTCAAAGAAATCAAGAACAAGAACCTCAAGCGGAGCCAACACCCACTCAACTCCTTCAAGCCATGCATTCACAAATGCAAACCTTTGGGCAACAAATGCAAGAAATAAGGGCTCACAACAAGATGGTTGATTCACAACTAGCTCAATTGGCCGAGAGAACTCCTTTCAATTCACCATATACTCTACCCGGACAACCACAACCTAACCCTTCTCATAACCAATAACCCGATACATGCAAATCAATCACATTGAGGTCGGGAACTTCCTATGATGGTCCAAATGAGGGGGATAGTGAGGAAAAGAAGGGAGGAGAAGAGAGTGTGAATGAAGACAAGAGAGGTGAGAAGGAAAAGGTTCATGAGGTAGAAGGAAGTTCGGAGAAGATGAAGCTTGACAATGAGGAGACAACTTCAATTCCTAGCGAGACTAGGAACCTTGATGGACCGGTTCCTTTTCCAAGTAGACTTGCGGAGAGGAAATTGAATGACAAGTTTGCGAAGTTCCTAAGTGTGATGAAGAATTTGCACATTAATCTCCCTTTTATTGAAGTTGTGACACAAATGCCATCTTACTCCAAGTTCCTCAAGGACATCCTCACCAACAAAAGGAAGCTCAATGATGAGCTTATCACCCTTCCACATCAAGTGAATTCTCTTGCTCAACATAAGACGCCCAAGAAGGAAAAAGACCCAGGGAGTTTCACTTTGCCGGTGAAAATTGGAAACATGGAAGCTAGGGGTGCATTGGCCGATCTTGGAGCAAATGTTAGTCTAATCCCTTTATCCATTGCTCAAAAGCTCAATATTGAGATGATCCCTACAAGGAAGACAATTCAATTAGCCGACCGCTCGGTAAAATTTCCTTGTGGCGAACTTGAGGATGTTCCGATTCAAGTGGGATACATCTATGTGCCTTGTGACTTTGTAATGATGGACATGGAGGAGGATGTGGACACTCCCTTGATCTTGGGTCGTGAAGCTCTTAAAACTTTGGAGGCGGTCATAAATTTCAAGAACAACACCATCACATGTGAAGTGGCCGATAAGAAGATTGTTTTTGAATTTTCTAAGTTGCTCAAGACCCCCTGGTTGAAAAGTGCTATAAAGTTGATGTTGTGAATGAGGATTTGGACCGTTTGGGGAGAGTCATGATGAAGCCTCAAGATCCAATAGTGGAAGCTCTCACATGCAAAGAGGAGTTCCACTCTCATGAAGCCAAAGAATTTGTCATGGCAATGGAGGAATCCTCAAAGGAGGAAGTTGAACAACAAGGAGAGATTGAGCTTGAATCAATGGAGGAAAAATCGGAGGAGAGTTCTAAGCCTCCTCCTAAGGTAGAATTCAAGCCCCTTCCCCCTTCTTTGAAATATGCTTATCTTGATAAGGAGGAAAAATACCCCATTATTGTCAATGCTACCATTGATGAACTTAATTTGGAAAATTGCTTGGTGTTTTGAGAAAATACAAAGATGTGATAAGGTATAACATTGATGATATCACGGATATTAGTCCTTCTTTATGCATGCATCGTATTCATCTTGAAGATGATCATTCCACTTCCATTGAACCTCAAAGGAGGTTGAACCCCAACCTCCAAGAGGTTGTCAAGAAAGAAATTTTGAAACTACGTGAGGCGGGCATAATCTATGCTATCTCCGATAGCAAGTGGGTTAGCTCGCTTCATGTAGTTCCAAAGAAGGGTGGAATGACCATAATCAAGGATGAAAGGGGAGAGGAATCTCCACCCGGACGGTGACCGGGTGGAGAATGTGTATTAATTATAGGAGATTGAACAAAAAAACAAAGAAGGATCATTTTCCTCTCCCTTTCATGGACCAAATGCTTGAAAGGCTTTCTCACCATGCTTTCTTTTGTTTCTTGGATGGGTACTCCGGATTTTTCCAAATCCCTATCCATCCAAGTGATCAAGAGAAAACTACTTTCACATGTCCATATGGGACATTTGCATACCAAAGAATGCCATTCAGATTATGCAATGCTTCCTCTACTTTTCAAAGATGCATGACTTCCAATTTCTCCGAAACGCTTGAAAAGAAATTGAAGTTTTTATGAACGATTTTAGTGTGGTGGCTCATCTTTTGACACTTGTATTTTTAACCTTGAAAAAGTTCCGAAAAGGTGTCAAGAGACGAGTTTGGTTTTAAATTGGGAAAAGTGTCATTTTATGGTCAAGGAGGGCATTATCCTCAGCCATAAGGTTTCAAAAAATGGTATTGAGGTTGATCCGGCCAAAGTTTTGGTGATTGAGAGGTTGCCCCCTCCTGCTTCCATCACGGGAGTACGAGCTTTTCTTGGGCATGTCGATTTTTACCGGAGGTTTATCAAAGATTTTTCATCAATCGCCAAACCTTTGACCGAATTACTTAAAAATGATGTTGTTTTTAGCTTCAATGAGGCTTGCCTTGAGGCATTTCGTAAGCTCAAGGAAGCTCTCATTTCTTGTTTGTATTGATGCTGAGGTGTATAACTGCAGCTTTTCCCTCAGCTCCGGACTGATCATTGTCGGGAGCTTAGTCAGATGCCCCTTGATGCCTTTAAAGGCTTCTTTCTCTTTGGCCCCCCACTTGAATTCCTTGTTTCCTTTCAATAGCTGATAGAATGGTAAGGCTTTGTCTGCTGACTTACTGATGAACCTAGTCAGTGCGACCATTCTGCCTGTCAACCTCATGACATCCTTAATTCTCTTAGGCTCGAGCAGATTGAGAACTGCTTCGACCTTTTCCGGGTTGGCATCTATTCCCCTCTCGCTGATCAGAAAACCCAAGAACTTTCCCAAGCTCACTCCAAAGACACATTTCTTCGGGTTGAGCTTGATCTTATACTTGTTCAAGGTAGCGAATGTTTCCTCTAAATCCATGATATGTCCAGCCTGCGTGACGCTCTTGACAATTGAGTCGTCAACATATACTTCTACATTTCGTCCTTTCTGGTGAAGGAACACTCTATCCATTGCCTTCTGAAAAGTTTCCCCCGCATTCTTCAGCCCGAAGGGCATAGCTATGTAATTGTACACTCCCTGATGGTACCCTGAGAAGGCGTCCATAAAGCTTAGCAGGGCGTGCCCACTCGTTGAGTCTACCAGTTGATCTATTCGTGGCAGTGGGTTACAGTCCTTTGGGCAGGCCTTGTTAAGATATGTGAAATCGACACACATTCTCCATTGACCATTTGCCTTCTTCACCATGACCACGTTGGCTAACCATTCTGGATAGTCACAGGGTTCGATAAATCCTGCTTCCAAGAGTTTTTGCACCTCTTCCTGGATTGCCTGATTTTTCTCCGTGGAGAAGCTTCGCTTTTTCTGCCTGACTGGTCTAATATCCTCCTTTACATTCAGCCTATGCACCATGACCGCTGGATCAATTCCGGGCATCTCATCTGCGGAAAATGCGAAAATGTCTTTATTCTTTCTTAGCAGCTCTATGAGGTGGACCCCCACTCCTGGATCAATGTCTTTCCCGATTTTCACTGTTCTCGAGGGGTCACCTTTTGTGAGCTCGACCGTGCCATGCTCCCCGCTGGGAAGTGGTCTGGCCACCTCTTCTTTTGCAGGCTCGAAGTTTTCCATTGCCAACTTTTGTTTATCCTTCTCCCTGTGATACTCTTCACGCTTTCTCTTCCTTGACTTCCTCTCAGGCTGCTTAGGGAGTCTTCTATCAGAACCTGACTGCTGTCTAGTTTTGGCAGGCTGCTTCAAGGCAGTAATGTAACATTGTTGGGCTGTCTTCTGACTTCTCCTGAGCTTTGCTGATCGCCCCTCATTAGTTTTGTAAGCCATCGCCAGGTGGTAAGTGGATACCACCCCGCCTATCTTGTGTATGAGCGATCTTCCCATTATGGTAATGGTTACCAAAACCTTGAGATTTGGCCTTGATTACCATACCCATGGCTTGAGTTTTGATTATTATAACCTTGGTTGTTATAGTTACCTCGGAAACCTTGGTTTCCTTGGTTCCTATATCCTCCATTGTTATAATTATCGAAACCACCTTGAGGGTGAGAATTCCTATTACCAAAGTTCTTAGGTCCTTCAAACCTTTGACCACCATTAGCATTAGACACAGAGTTCACATGTTCACATTCATTATTTTCAACATCATCACATCCATCAACAAAAGCTTGTGAACACATGGAAGAATCATGATCATAAGAACCACATGAATCACAAAATAGACAACCACTTGGCATGTTATTAGAAGTCGAAGGAGAAGAGTTAGAGATTGTACCTTTCCCTTTGGTTTGGGAGGGAAGACTCAAAGAATTCGTGGACACACTCCCAAGCTTCGCTTTGATTGATGTCATCTCTTTCCCTAGATTTGAAATTTGGGATGACAAGTTGTTGATCGCATTGAGATGATCCACGGAATAGACCATTGAGCCACTCTTGCTAGTAGACTCTCTCTCTCCTTCTTGCCAATCTCTATAGTTGTAGGAGATTATAGGTACTAATAGAGAAATTAACATGAATCATATTCATATAGCACCAAACCAAGGATCTCATGCATAACACATAAAGAAGTAAGAATTATACCTTTGAAGCGTGATTCCACTAGTGATCGAGCAAGAACAAGGGAGATAAAGAACCTCAAGTGTGATTCCTCTACTTGGTCCACGGGCACATATTAAGACCTCTACTAATGCTAGTTAGTCGCGAAAGAACTCTTCAATCGACCTTCTACGGAGATGAACGAACAACGAACTAGCCAAGAACCACCACACAACACCACGAGAGCCACGAGTTTGAGGAGGGATTGAGGGCTTTGGATGTTGGTTGCTTAGATTCACAATTCATTGTATGTTAATTGTGACTTAATCATCAACCCTAGGCATGACTATTATTTATAGATCATATCTCTAAATAATAGTCCAAGTCAAAGCCCAATTCCTAATCCCAATCAAACTACACTTAGCCCAATCATTCTTATGACTAATTAAATGCTCATGAGGCCCATTAATGAGCCTCTAACTTGCTTAACCCATTACCCTTGTGTGTATAGGATCCATTCTAAAGGGCTTTGGACTATTTGACTAGTCCAAAGATCATCTCTCATAATCTAGCAACAGAGGATGACGCCCCAATAGAATGAACTTATTATCTCCATAATAGTGATCCTTGATATATCTAGTAATTGCACTTATAGAAGACACAATTCCTTCAATAGTATCTCACAACATCCTCAATTATGTCAACTACTTCTTCTTCCGTCCTATTCATTATAGGACCACCGGCTCCTCCATCTAGGCATGACTTGCCTTGAGCTCTCAAACCTCCATAGAAAATTTGGATCACTTGATAAGTAGGAATCCCATGATGTGGACATTCTCTTTGGTACTCCTTGTACCTCTCCCATGCTTCATAGAGATTCTCATTGGGTCTTTTCTTGAATCCTTGGATTAATGCCCTAGCCTCCGCCGTCTTATTTTGTGGGTAAAAGCGAGACAAGAAAGCTCTAGTAACATCATCCCATGTTCTAAGCGAATTGGGCTTAACCTCTTTATCCAACCACTCTAAGGCACGACCAATGAGAGAAAAGGGAAACAACTTTAGCCGAATGAACTCTAGAGAAATGTCGTTCACCTTAATGGTATTGCAATACTTCTCAAATTCCTTTAGGTGATTCAACGGACTCTCACTCTTGGCTCCACTAAATTGCCTCCGTTCTATCAAAGTAATCATGGCCGGTCTTATCTCGAAATTGTTCGCCGGTGTTGTAGGTGGAGCAATGCCACTCTCAAACCTATAAGCACTGGGAATGCCCAACACCTTCAAAGCTACCCTTGGATTCTCTCCCATTCCTCCTTCTTGCATCTCTTCCTCAAACTCCTCTTCACTTGAAGAACTATACTCCAAAGATCGATTGGCTATTCTTCTCCTTGAGAGTGTCCTCTCGATTTTCGGGTCAAAAGGCACAATAGATCGATCACGAGCGCTATGCATGCAAAATCTCAAAAGAAATTGTTAGAAACATGGCTACAAGTGTAGCCTAAAAGAAAGAAATAATTTTTTTTTGTGTTTTTCAGTTAGATGGAATAGACTCAACAACAATACACAATCATGACACCATTCCCCGGCAACGGCGCCATTTTGGTCGATGATG